GTTTTTCTCCGCGCCATCCGCGCATTCCATCATACGTGGTGGAATGACGCTGGTGGGCAGTGTTCGATGAGATTAACTACTCTGGTATCGGGAATCGAACAATTGGTGCGAATTTATCGAAACGATTGGACGATCGAATCCAAAAAGAAAAAAAAAAAAGAAAAGAAAAAAAAAGTGAAAGGAACGTTTCCGCAGACGATCTTCCGTACGATTTTTTGCGTCGTTTTTGACGAGCACGCGACTTCGCGTCATTTTTTGGTCGCGAGAAAGCTAGCAGATTCATCGCCGGACGATCGTCTTGGAAACCGGACAGAACGTTTGTTTCGAGTTATCGTTTGTACTCAAGGGAAAATTCTGTTTCACCGTAGTTTCCGCTTCGAAACAGAACGTTGCTCGGTGAGAAGAAAGAAATTCGACAGCTGTCGCTCGAAACCGCGTGAGAAACGCTTAAATTTAATTTTGATACTTCGAGCGACGGGGTGAAGGAAGCTATCTGAAACAGAACTTTCGTTTCTTAAATTAGACATATCAGAACGACTTGACGCCATTGCGAAGCAAAGAGAAAAAAAAAAAAAAAAAAAAAGAAAGAAAGCGAAAGGTATTATTTTCGACGATCTAGAAATAAGAGGATAAAAGAGAAAAAGCGTCAAAAAGTCCACGTGTGCAGTGTTTCAGATACTTGCAAGTAGATACCATTGAACACTGCGGATTAATGTTTTTGCGAATTGTAGTGTAACTGCGAATGCAAAAAGCAGAGAAATGTTATGTATAAAGCGTCTTTCGGGCTTCCTGTTAAATGCATACCAGTTCGTTTCGACAAAGTTCCATGGGACGATGGGTCAATCTCGTTTTATCATACCAAAAATTCACGACTCTTGAACTCTTGAAACCGATCGGGGTTTCGAATCCCCGCGTCAAATGAGATTACTTTCCGCGCAGAATAGAAAGACCAAGAAACAAAGAAGAGAAAAAAAATTGAAAAGAACAAGAGGAAAAAAGAGAGAGAGAGAGAGAGAGAGAGAGAGAAACAGAAGGAAAAGGCAAAAAGAAACTATCGAGATACGATGAAAATTGTGCAAAGTCCTGAAAACTTTCGTTTGAACGAGCTTGTATGCGAGCTGAATCAGAATTAAAGCCGTTCGAAGTTGGAGTTTCAAGACTCTTTAAAAGCAAACTTGACGTTGCAATCGAACGACTGTAAATATACTATAACATGACGTAGAGTAGAAAATTAAGCGCGTATTTCACGGTGAAAATTTTGTTCTAGTTGCGAGCGCCGTTGGAAGCTCGTCGATTCCGGAAGCACGCGATTGGCCAGCCTAAAATTTCATGTCTTTCCGAAATTTCGAAAGCGAAAAAAGGCTGATGTATCGCGACTAGCGATTATCGCTGAAATTTTTTGTATGAAAGGATAACTGGTCTGAGTGTTGAACAAAAACGAAAAAAAAAAAAAAAAAGAAAAAAAAATGAAGAAGAAGAAATTATCGAGAGCATGGAATGGTCAAAATGAAATCTGAAGCTGCGTGAATGAGAGATTCGTGCGTACGAATGCATTCAAAGTGCGAATGTTGCGAACGGTTGAGCAAACGAAGATCGAGCG